AACTTCGATTGCCCTAGAAATCACAGGCTGAGCCCAGGTTGGCATGCAGGTGGTTTATTTTGGAAAGTGATCCTAGGAAGTCAGAGGGTAAAACTGAGAAGGAAAGGTAACGAGGTACAACCAGGAAAAATGTATCTGCTGCTGCCTGCACATTGTTCCTGGCGCAGGGCTCCTCAGACCTGTGTAGGTTAATATTTAGAATCTTATGTAGAAAGACAATTCATGACAAATCAAGAAACTCCAGGATCCAACATATCTTGCATCTCCTTTCTTATAGAACTGAAGGGACAGTCTTGCAGAGGTGGTTAGCTTTGGATTTGGGGAGGAGTGGTTGCTTCTGTGTGAGATCAACATATTCTTAGTTCCTAAGTAATAAGATCACAAGATGCATCTTTTGTTCTAATAGTCTTTGACCTCAGTTCCTGACACAGAGTTCCTGAATCCCTTGGAATTTCCTGGGTGATAGGAGTCATTGTTCTAGTTAGGTGTCTTTGGGATTCCCTTTGAATTACTCTGGGGGGTGAGGTGGGGTGGTGATGGGACAGATGAGAGATATATGATTAGCCACAATAGTTATCAGTAATGAGTGGAACAGTTTCTCAAATAACATCATTTCATTCAACTTAGTTATATTGTTGATAAGAAAAAATGCAAGCAATCTTTATTTGTGATATTATTTGAGCACCTGCTTTCTTCATACTTCCTTTGGCTTAAAGTAACAGTTTCCAAGAATCAATCAACAACATTAATGAGGATTCATTGTGCTTGGTAGTTTATTATATTTTTCCTATTTTTGAGGTTGTTCATAATGAAAAGCCCTGTAACATGTGTGCCATTCCAGATTAGAGTTGTATGTCTGGTGGTCAGAATGTTGCAGGAACAGTGAAAATTGACACTGATGCTAATGTTGGCAGAGACTTACCTGTACCATAATTGTTTTAAATGAGTGCATTTCTGGAGTGAAACATTCCATTAAAGAAACTGGACACCTTCCCATACCGCTAGTTCCAAACTTTTCCAAGGCAGACTTGTCATTCATTGTGAAAATCTGTCATCTCAAGCAGGAACTCCTAGTGATTATTTCACCAATAAATTATCCATAATTTATTTTGAAGAGAAACAGAATCAAACCTGAAATGTGTCTTTCAAGGGATGGAGAGGCCTGATGCCAGAAGACAAACCATTCATTAAAGTCTGGACATTTGTCTAACTTTTCCCTGTGCCTGGGGCACTGTCAGTCCAGCAGGAGTATTTTAAGTGGGATTATCCAAGCTCTTTGCTGCTGCAAAGATGGATGCTTGCTAAGTGGAACCTCTTCCCCTCAAAGTGACCAGGCATGATATTGAGTAAAATAATGGTCAGAAAGAGCATCACCAGGCCCCTAATGAGAAACTGTTGACAGAAAAATTGCTCTAACATTCATCAAAAAGCCAATAAATGTCAAAGAAGGGACTAGAGATGTAACAGCTTATAAATCCCTTTTCAAGGGGCCTCAAGAGGAGAGTATGGGGACAATACACTCACTCTTCCTTTTCCCTGAATATTGCTAAAGAAACTCCCAGAAAGCATGAAGGATTTATGCGTTGGTTCTCTCTGAGAGTTCCAAGGGTGTATCAAAAAGAAGGCCATGCCAACTTGGCCACAGAATACTGTTTTTGGTACCAATACTAGCTAAGTTACAGCTTTTTCGTCATTTAGGCCTATCTGAGTGATGTCACAGTTTGTAAGTTAACTGGGAGCTGAGATCTTTCTGGCTTGAAAAGCCAAAGTGTCTTGTCCAGGATTCTATTTGTTCACTAAAGAATAAAAATTATTTTCTTCTTGGTTCCCATCTTACTACCTCTCGTGTGCTATCCAGTGATGGTAAGTGGTTAGCCTATTGGGACCTCCATCGTATATTGACCTTGGTGCCATAAACTACATGTGTATTTAGAACCACACAAAAACCTGCATGTAAATGTGCATAGCAGCATATTCCTAGTAGCCAAACCATGAAAACAATCCCAGCTCATCAACTGACTGAGGATAAATGAAATCTACAATAGCCGCACAATGGAATGCTATTCAGTCATAAAAAGGAATGAAGTTCTGGTACTTATTTCAACATAGATAAACTTTGGAGACATTTTTGATAATGAGTATGCAGGATATTGCATGTGATAGGCGTGGTTGAGTGAGTAAATGTGAATGTGCAGCACTGAGGGATGGTTAGGGACAGGCCCTCAAGTGTAGGAAAGTCTCTTTGCTCTTTTTTTTTTTTAGATTTATTTATTTATGCATACAAGAACTGGGGTATAGGCCAGAGGTGAGTGAGGTGAAAGGATTCACCAGAGGCAGAGTGGAGACCAGAACAGACAGACTGACTGAAGTACACTGCTGAGGGGAACAGCGGGTGGTTTCGGAGAGGTCTGCTACATCATGTGGATCACCTCCCTGGCAGGAATCGAACTCATACTACAGGTGCCGCGATAGCTTCATTGTGCTGTGCTTTAACCCTTGCGCCACCAGGGAGGGCCCAGGATCTACTCTTTCTTAAGGGAGGGACTCCTCCCTGGTATTAAGGGCCTTCAGGAAGCTTCATTGGTAAAAACTGAACTGTCCTTAAGGGATAATTATCAAATGATCAGAACAATGACTTTTATGACAGCAACAAATGAGAGAGCAAATTTGGTTTAAGGTTCAAATGATTAGTAACCATGTCAACACATGTTACCAAGAGCAAATCTGTTAGATGTCTTCTGACCTTTCCAGGAACCATAAATTTTGTGCATCTCCCTATGGGAAGCATGTTTTGCTACCAGAAGGGTAAGCATTTTGCAACCAAAACATAGCTAGGTCTTAAAGAAAGACCCCTTCGATTTCATCCAAGCCAAGTGACTCTTGAACATTGATTTACGGTTCTTAAGAGATACTTATCAACTTCCTAGGCCCTTCCAAAAACAAACAAAGAAAAAACAACAAAAGAAAACAAAAAACACTCCACTAGTTTAATTCATCTTCTTCTCAGTTATTTAACTATCTAAAACTGATTTAGAAAATGTGTTCTGAGAACTTAGAAGAAAAACCTGTCTGTCTATACAGCCCCTGTGGGCAGCTCACTCTGGCAGTTTTGAACAGGGCCAAGTAAGCCCTGCTGAAGGCGTGCCCCGTGCTAGCAAGTGACTAAGCTCAGGAGGAGAACAAAGAACAATACACAAAAATTAATTCAAAATGGATCGAAGACTTGGATGTAGGACTGGAAGCTGTAAAATACATCAAAGAAAACATAGGCAAATGCTCCATGACATTGGCTTTAGGTCTCAACTCCAACAGCAAAGGAAACAAAAGCAAAAATAAATGAATGGCACCATAGCAAAATAAAAAGGCTCTGTACAGTGAAAGAAATTATCCTTAAAACAAAAACATATTTTGCTGGATGGGAGAATATATTTGCACCTCATGCATCTAACAAGGGGCTAATATCCAATATCTACAAAGAACTCATATACCAAGAAGGAAATAAAGAACTCAGTGGAAAAATGGGCAGGAGAGCTACATAGACACTTCTCTAGAGAAGGCATACAGATGGCCAGCACAGGAAAAGATGTTCCGTATCACTTAGGAGGGAAATACAAATCAAAACCACAATGAGATGTCACCTTATTCCTGTGACCATGGCCCATATCGAACAACAAATGTTGGTGAGAGTGTGAGGAAAAGGAACCCTCATACACTGTTGGTGGGGTGTAAACTGGTTTAGTCCCTATAGAAAACAATATGAAGAATCCTCAAAATATTAAAACTAAGATCTACCTCGTGGCCCAGCCAGTTCATTCCTAGGTATCTACCCGAGGAATACAAGACACTAAATCAAAGGGACATATTCACACCTATGTCATTGCAGTGCTATGTACAATAGTCAAGCTAGGCAAACAATCATATGTCCAGTGACATATGAGTGTATTAAGAAATTGTGGTATATGCACACACAATAGAATACTGCTCAGCTATAAAAAGATGAGGGCCCTCTCTGATGGCATAAAGGGTTAAAGCACAGCACTATGAAGCTAGCCATAGGCACTTCAGTGCAAGTTTGATCTCTGGCCAGGGAGGTGACCCACATGGCATGGCAAACCTCTCCTGTCTCACCCACTGCTCCCCTCAGCAGTTTCTTTGTCAACCTGCCTGTTCTGCTCCCCACTCTGTCTGGGTGAATTCTCTCACCACCCCTACACCTCTGGTCTATACACCAGTTCTTGTGTGCATAAATAAATCAATCTTAAAAAAAAAAAGAAGATGAACTCTTGCTATTTGCAACAATGTGGATGGAACTGGAGGGGCTTATGCTAAGTGAAATAAGTCAGAAGGAGAAAGACATATATCTAATGGCTTCATTCATGGAGAATATAGAGAAAACAAATGAGCAAACAAAAATCTCATTTCGCTTGGATTCCTTCCCCCTCTCCTCCCTGGAGTGGGGCCCCAGGGGAGCCAGAGTGGGAGGGGCCATCAGAGAACCTGAGGCTCAACCTAGTTGTCTGCCAGCTTTTTATGGACCCTGTTCAGGACTCAAAAGATAAATTTTTTTTTTTACTTTTTATTTTTATTTTTTTTATAAATTTATTTTTACATCATTTTGTACCTTTTTTTCCCATCTCAATTGTAATCTCTGCGGGTTTCCCATCACCAAGTCACCCGTGTACCATCACCATAATCCCGTGCACTTCCCTCCCCCCCCCCCCCCCCCCCCCCCCGTTTTTGGT